TGTGGAGGGCTACATCTCGTGTGGGAGGGGTGGTGGCAGCGTCTTTTTGGCATTGGCGCTTGTTTGCCTTGGTTTGCAGTCGAGCTAATTCAAAGGTATTGACTCCTTGTGTGGTGCTTCTCCAAGCGTTATGGTGTGGAGTAATCGTCTCCCAGGTGAGGGGGTCGATTTGGCACTTTTTCAGGTTTTTCGTAAGACTATCCTTATACCTTTTCAGTTGCCCGCCGGTATCACGTTTACTATTCGTTAGGTGACTGTAAAGTAGCTGCTTTGGCAGTCTACTGTCGTCCATGCGGGTAACATGGCCAGTCCAATGTAGTTGTTCATGGATAATGGTAGCCTCGATGCTCCTACAGTTGGTGTTAGTGAGAATACCGGCATTTGTTCTCGTGTCTTCCAGCGAACTCGGAGGATGGAACGTAGACTACGTTGGTGAAAGTTTTCAAGTGCCTTGAGGTGCCTCTTGTATGTGACCCATGTCTCGCTGCCATATAGCAGGGTGGACAGGACCACTGCTCAATAAACGTGCAACTTTTTAGATAATTTCAGCTCCCTGCAGCTGAAGACACGGGTACGGAGTCTGCCAAAGTCTTGAGATGCACATCTGATCTGATGTTGAAGCTCTTCATCGATGTCTGCAGTGGTGGACAGGTGGGAACCGAGATACTGAAAGTGGGTAATATTAGAGAGGGTAGTACCGTTAAGCTGGATGGATGGTGGATGTGTGGCTGAACAAGGGGTAGGCTGGAAGAGAATATGAGACTTGCGTACATTCACCTCAAGGCCGAAGTGTGCATATGCATCTGCATAGGTGTTCAGGATCTCCTGTAGGTCGCGTTCAGTGTGAGCAACAAGAGTAAGGTCGTCTGCATAAAGATGTTCAGTAATGGAAGCTGCTGACACATTTGTTCCTGCCTGGAGTAATCTTATGTTGAAAAGACCCTTCATCCAGTACTGGACGTCCGCCCCGCCGGCTAAATTGGCACTGGCATGAGTAAGAAAGGCAGCCAAGAAAATGGAAAAGAGATTTGGTGTCAGTACACATCCTTGTTTTACCCCCGTTTGGATGGGGAAGAACTCAGACTGGGTGCCATTGCCATTGTGGAGTTGCTTCACAATGGCGATGAATTTTGGTGGTCAGCCAAAACGGCTGAGGGTCGCTAGAGGGCTTCCCTGTTGACCGAGTCAAAGGCCTTGGTTAGGTCGATGAAGGCCATATACAGGTCAAGACGCTATTCTCTGCACTTTTCCTATATCTGGCGGGCAGTAAAGATCATGTCAGTGGTGCCACTTGATGGTCTAAAGCCACATTGAGATTTTGGGAGAAAGTTTTCTGCCTCAGGAAAAAGTCTGTTCAGGAGGACTCGGGCGATAATCTTGCCAGCTACGGACAGCAGCAAGATCCTGTGGTAGTTGCCACAGTCTGACCGTCTCCCTTGTTCTTATAAATATTGACGATGGAGGCGTCTTTAAGATATTGGGGGATTTCCTCCTTTTCCTGTATATTCTCCAGGAGAGAATGGAGACGGCTAGTGAGCAGAGGTCCTCCTGCTTTATACACCTTGGCTGGGATTCCATCAGGCCCTAAGACTTTGTTATTTTTCATATGTTTGATGACAGTAGCTACCTCATCCAGGGATGGAGGATATGCTGAGATGGGTCAGCTCTGGATGCTGAGGAACCTGCTGGGTAGTCAGGACATCCACATCAGTTTTTCGGTTGAGCAGCGAATGGTAGTGCTCTTTCCAGTCTTGAAGGATGCCTTGTTCGTCTTTAATTATGGAGTTAACGTCGGATGAACAGAGGGTATTGCGCCATGAGTGAATGGCCCATACAGTGTAGTCTGCATTTACGCGGCTTTTGCTTACGCATTTGGTCATTTACGCGGTGCCTTGCCAAAATGAAATGCTTTAATTACGCGGCAAATTTGGTCATTTACGCGGGTGAAGTATAATTTGTTTACTGTATTTACTGAAGATATTTGTTTTAGCTCCTAAAATTCATACAAATTACCTGGCCAGAATATAATTTACATTGCTGGAATTCTTATAAGATTGTGATTATTTTAAATATAAACATCATAAAATTTGCATTAGACATACAAATTTTAGATCTAATGTAAGAATTTTGATTAAAAAGAGCAAAAATTTTATCTTTTGTGCTAAATATATGACGTTTATATTCAAAATATTCCTGGTTTTGCAAGGAATCCAGCAATGTCAATTATATTATCCTAACTTTAGTCTGAGGTATTATTTATTACTAAAAATGTAAGCCTACTGTTTTCACCCAAACATTTCTCTGGTAGGGAGGGAGGGAGGGACCCAGCAAGCGTGGGAAGAGGGGGGGAGCAGAGATGGGGTATTTTGATTGACAGATAGTGTCTGGGTGAAGTATAATTTGTTTATTTACTGAAGATTTTTGTTTTAGCTCATAAAATTCATACAAATTACCCGGCCAGAATATAATTTACATTGCTGGAATTCTTATAAGATTGTGATTATTTTAAATATAAACATCATAAAATTTGCATTAGACATACAAATTTTAGATCTAATGTAAGAATTTTGATTAGAAAGAGCAAAAATTTTATCTTTTGTGCAAAATATATGACGTTTATATTCAAAATATTCCTGGTCTTGCAAGGAATCCAGCTATGTCAATTATATTATCCTAACTTTAGTCTGAGGTATTATTTATTACTAATAATGTAAGCCTACTGTTTTCACCCAAACATTTCTCAGAGAGGGAGGAGCCAGCGAGCGTGGGAAGGGGGGGAGGGAGGTGAGTCCATTATTTGAATGGACATTAACCGGGCAACTGTATATCTCTTAAATATTAATTGTGTGTGCATACCATCATAAAATTAAGATGTTATTTTTACTACAATGTACGTATTGTGTTGGAAAAAGTGGAGTTTGGGGGTCGGCCCAGTCTCTATTTCACTTAATCCTATCTGTTCTGTTATTTCATTTACGCGTTTCTCGTTTTATGCGGGCCTCCACGGGTCCAATTGACCGCGTAAATGCAGACTCCACTCTATAATGTTTTAGCGGACTTGAAAAATTCACACATCTTGTGTTAATCTGCAAGTTTTTGAGTTTAACATGCTTCATTTTTAAACCAGTCGTTCCTTATTTTACAAAATACACGCTGGGCCACTGCTTTCTTCTTGTGGAAGGTATCAGCCTTGGTCCGAGACTGAGGGTTGTTCTGCCAGTCAGTTAAATCAGCACATTTATCATCGATGAGTACTGTACATTGATTTCTGGGTCATTTTCATCAACCCAGTCCGGGTGTATTCTTTCGATCTGGCTGAGGGTCTCTCTGCAGGTTTTTTCATGACACTGTCGAGAATACCCCATTCGGCACTGGGATTTGGGTTGTTTGTTGTCGGGTTGTTTATCAGCCCATGTTCGAGCTGCTCTCTGAATGCATGTGCTACCGCTGGATCCTCCAGACGCTTAATGCTAAAATCTCTTCTGGTGGCTTGTTGCCTTCACCGTTTTGGGGCAACATGAAGTGAGAGCTTGGCTCTGACGAGCCGATGATCAATGTTGCAGTGGCCTGAACCACGCATTGCTCAGGTGATGAGGACATCTCGCCGATCTCTTTCTCTGAAAATTATGTTGTCAATGAGATGCCAGTGTTTGGATCGTGGGTGTTGCCACGAACCCTTGAACTTGTCGGCCTGCCTAAACAAGATATTGGCGATAGTGAGGTTGTGCAGCACACTTGCTGAGGAGGAGTAGGCCGTTGGGATTACACTTTGCTAGTCCATTTCTCCCTATGGTTCCCTGCCAAATGTCAGCATCTATGCCAACTCTAGTAATGAAATTACATAGGAGCACAACCTTATCTTCTCTGGGGATAGAAGTTAACACTCTGTCAAGGTTGGCATAAAAGGCCTCCTTGATATCATCCTCTGCATCCAGTGTTGGGGCATATGCACTGATGATAAAGGCATGATGTGAGTGATTCAATGGGACTCTGAGTGTCACGAGGCACTCGTTGAGCCCAACAGGCATTTCAGTTAGCCTGTGTAGGATGCGTTGGCTGATGGCAAAGCCAACTCCATAAATGCGGTTTCTCTCCGCAGCAGGCTTACCCCTCCAGAAGGTGAAGCCAGAACCCCGTTCTGTGAGTCGACCCTTGTCTGGGAGCCAGGACTCACTAATGGCTGCTATGTCGGTGTTACACCTAGCCAGCTCTTTTGCCACAAGGGCAGTTTTTCTTTCATTACGCTCATTTGTGCCAGTATCCAAAACGGTCCTAACATTCCATGCAGCGACCATAAGAGGTTGTATAGTTTGTTATTGTTTTATCTGTGATTATAATTGTGTTTTTGACTGCAGGTCAGTTACATGAGACCCACTAATCCCCCACAACTCTGTGGTAGTGGAAAATACCAGTCTTAACAGTGCTTCATTCTTGCCCATATTATATAGGTTTTTAGTTTTTTTTTAAATATATTTATTTAACCAAATTTCTTAAACTATTCAGGATTATTCTAGTAAAAATTGGAGTTTCTAACATAATTAGAACTGCTTTTTACAGACTCCAGTAGTTTAGACTCAGAAAACTTTCCCCAGCACCCAGAAACATTCTGGGGATGTGGGTTAGCATCTGTCTGTGCAAGATGCATAGTTTAGACTCACAGAATCTTTTCTCAGTAGCCAGAAAATATTCCGGGGATAAGGAATTTTTCCGGGTTTGAGAAAGTTTTTTGGTTACCCGGCAATATCTCATCCCCGGATGTGCTCCCCATCAATTGTTCCAGCTGACTGAGATATCACTGTGTCTCCAACACATTTATATGGAGCCATGTTGGAGAAGTTTGCACAGTTTATTAATATATGGGACAAGTTGATAATTTTAAAGTGCAATATTACTGCTTATACATTTTTAGAAAATATTGTATTGATGTAGTAGGTCTACTGTATTTCATATTGTATTGTTCCAGAGCATTTTAGTATTTCTTAGTTTTATTTATGTTGTAGGTGATGAGTTGGTGTTCCTTGACCCCCACACAACACAAGATGCTGGAAGCATAGCCAAAAAACTTACTGAGGAGGAGGTGGAGTTAGACAAATCTTACCACTGCTCATATGCTCAACGTATGCCTTTTGAACAGCTGGATCCTTCTCTTGCCTTGGTAAGTGTATTCCTCGCTAAATCTAAGATACATTAATACACTTCTCTCAAAACCTAAAAATGCTGTGTCCTATACTGTATCTGCACTACTCTTAATGTGCCATCAATGCCTACAGGACCCACTTTCAGTCAGTAAGGTTTCATAAAGAGGCTAATGAAATGTAGATGGTAAATGAGAAATAGTAATGGAGGTAGACCTGTTAATACACCTTATTATTTTAGGAGACAAGATTATTTGGGTATGGAATCTAATGCTGAGGATTGAATATTGTGGTTCATAAACTATTAAATATATTCAGAAAAAAATTAAATCCGTCATTTAAACTTGTACTATTTGTTTTCTTATTTCTTTGCAGTGCTTTTATTGTGGTACAGAAAAAGAATTTGATGATTTGTGTAATCGGATGCGGCAGGAACTCATAGACGCTGAGAAAACTCCACTCTTTGAATTGGTCCCTACCAGACCTGACTACATGAAGGATGACTCTTCTTTTGAGGGAGCTTCTGGGATTAGTAAGACTTGCATGATTTTCATGTTAAATTTTATAAATATTCTCGACTTCAGTGTAAAGTACAGTACATTACCTGATTGCCTGTAGATGTTTGTATATTTTACTTTATTTACAAGTCACAGCACTCAGCCCTGACATTTTTATTCATGTTGATGGATGTTTGTTTATTTTAGGTGTGGAGTTTGAAGATCACCACCTTGACTCTGATGATGAGGAGTTTGAGGTTCTTCAGTGAAACCACCAAGGAGTTGAGTACGGAGTAGTGCTGACTCTTCTTGTAATACTGACTGATTCTTGTTTTAATACTGACTGACTCCTCTAATATTGACTGACTTCTCTCCTAATACTGACTGACTCCTGTAATACTGACTTACTCCCCCTGTAATACTGACTGACTCCTTCTCTAATACTGACTGACTCTTCCTCTAATACTGACTGACTCTTCCTCTAATACTGGCTGACTCCTTCTCTAATACTGACTGACTCTTCCTCTAATACTGACTGACTCTTCCTCTAATACTGACTGACTCCTCCTCTAATACTGACTGACTCCTCCTCTAATACTGACTGACTCTTCTAATATTGATTGACTCTTCTAATGCTGTACTGACTGACCCCTCCTCTAATAGTGACTGATTCCTCCTCTCATTCTGACTCCTACTTTATTTTACATAAAGTTGTCATGAACAACTTAGTCTTGTGATGGTAAAGTCTTCATGAAAAATTTGTTTCTATGAAAGTCGTAGTACAGTACTATATTAGATTTAGATCAGTGAAGTCATTTATGGAGAAGATCAATATAAAATAGAATTGAATATATTAAAGAAATCAATCATCAACTGTTATGAATGATCTTGAATATGAAAAAAACCATTGTCATGTTTTAACTCATATACTGTACAGGAATTCATATCTTAAAATAATTAGTTCGGCAAGCACAAGAGGACAGAATTTAGGATTTTTAAATTATGCTTTGTAGAGTTGAGTGTCATCTTTTGAGAGAGAAGGTGGAGTAGTGAAGCATAGGGCCAAGGTAAGGTTGCATTGTGATAAGTTTTCACCTTGTATTGGTATGCTGTTCATGATTATTGCATTTTATAGCACAGTTGCTGAATCTGAGTACTGTAGACTTTTCAGAATATACATTTGTTCTCTTTTCTCTCTTTGGTAACAAAAGCACAAGTGATTTATGGGGATTGATAATGCTGATGGATGATGATGTGTTGTATAAAGCAACAGACGTAAACCAAATGAAAATCGTGGTAGTACTGTTGTGGAGTAAGAACACTATAGATGAGCTCATCTTTTGGAGAAAACATCACCTGAAGATTAGCTCCCTCAGCTTATGTCATCGAACGATTAAACATCCTAATGCTACTTGGATAGGTTAGGTAAAGTTAGCTTTATGGTGGTTAATCTTCAGGTGAAATAAGTTAAAGGATAATCATCAGATGAACCTAAAAAACAAAGTGATACCTCCGTTAGCCAGAACAATTGGTGCAGAGCACTTCAGCGAATGAAAGATTACCGGGTGATGAGTCGCCTTTCTTGAGCTTGGAAAAATATCCTCCATCCCCAGAATTTTCCGGGTACTGGTAAAATTTTCTCGGAATTTCAGGAAAATGTGCTTGATTTTCATCTCTCAAGCCTGAAAAACTCCCCCATCCCTGGAATTTTCCGGGTACAGGTACACTGGGAAATTTTTCTCAGAATTTTCCAGAAAATTTGCCCCTCGGAAAATTGGAGAGTTCCGGATAAGAGGGATTCCGGCTAACGGAAATATTAATGTACATGTAAGTGATGTCAGAATCTGTATTATTCTTCATGATGGCCACTCTGCATCATGGTGAGAATAGAAGAATGAAAACAAATGGCTCTCCCTTTGAAAATAAAGTTTGGTTTAGTAAATTTCCCTAACTAGGTTATGATTTAATCTCTCAGAAAAGAAATGAGTCTTGGTTAAGTGATACAGTACAAAGTTTTAAATATCTTATTGAAAAAACATTACATAAAACAAAAATTAACATACAGTATTATACTGTAATGTCAATCTGTCATCACATTGTACTGTATTAATTTTTCTGTATTTAGTGTTATAAAATTCTGAAACTTAACCATCACCATAATTAGACGTGTTGAAGATTCAGTAACCTTTTTTCCCCCCTTCTTGCAAGCCTTCCCCCACTACAGCACAGTGTGGCCAAAATCAAGAATAATATACAGTACAGTAAGTACAGTCCTTGGTAGCAGCCACAGTGGAACTACTGTACTGTGTGCTGTGTCCATGTTAAGGGAGGTGTCAGGCTTTAGCTATAAAGATAGTATGGGTAAAAGAAAAGAAAACTCACCTCAACAGAGGTGAAAAGGTTGAAAACCTGAAACAGTAGAATATTTGGTTAGTGAAGCCATTATTAACTAGAAAAAAGATCAATTAGAAAATTAAAAATTGAATTTGACAAAAGAAAATGAACATTAAAAAGTAAATAAATAAATTCTTTAATTTCCTATAGCACTGACCTTCATCGCAGAATATATTGCTGTTTTACTGGAAGTGGTTGAAATTTTTCAATTAATTAGTACAGTACAGTATTATAATAGTCTTTACTTGCTGTCAGAGCAGAGGGACAAGCTGAATCTTACCGAAACACTTTCTGTAATATTTGGCTATAATTAATTACCGGTAGCTAATTTACTGCAGGATCTTTTCTTCCTAGTTTCTCCTTACCAGCAGGTCTTGCTTATGCTGCTAATTATGCATATGATTTTTTTATCAACCCTGTCTGTGATCCATTGTTTAATTGTAAATATGAAGGCAAAAAATATACTGAGTGTACAGTGTACCTATGCCACCTAACACAGCCAGTGACCAATTCTTGAACACGCTTGTTTTAATTATCAGATTTTAGAGATTTCTGAGCCGTGCACAAAAGTTACTCCTTATATATTTGTATGTTGATTTAGGTACTGTATCATAAATTAGCCTTTGACAATTAAAATACTTGTACTTGAAATCTTTGGATGCATATTTCATTTCCAATTTGCATTCACAAGGACTGTTAATTCTCCAGTAAAATATGAAAAGGTTAACTGGACTTTTTTTTCTGCTTTTTTATCAAGGCATATCCATAAAGTTTCCATATTTAGCATTACTGTTTCTTAAAAAAAATCTAACAGCAGGGGAAAATATGAAGAAAAAATGAAAATACAGTATTTATGGATTCCTCATTTTATGCTATGAAAATTAGCCAGAGCTATATCATATGTTGTTAGAAATTCTTAGAAATTGTGTTTCTGTCATAAGAAGCAAAATAATTTATTATGTTAAACTCCATAATTTTATATATATTTTTTACATTGAAATTGAGGTAAAATTTCATAAAAAAATATTTTGTCATTTCCTTTCATTTCAGGTAAAGCAAACAAAACAGCACAATTCCTCAATTTTACAGTAAGTCCCCATTGAACGAAAGGGTTAGGTTCTGTTAAAACGCTTTGGTTAGGTTGGTTATGTTCATCGAACCATTTTTCCCATATAAATTACTAAGGGAGGGATGTGTTCCTGTACTAAGCTCCGTGACAAAATAATTGCAACACATCAAAATATTGAAGATAAAAACAATCAAACCTGTAAAACATAAAGGTACATAAACAGAGTTGTCAATTGTTGTTTGTGGGAATATTAATTCATTCACTCTAGTGAAGATACAATGTTTCTTATTATGTTATCATAGGAAAATGCATGGTTTATATAATTTGTTTATCACTGAGCCCGTCAGCATTTTCAAATTAGACTACATACAAGATTTATATTTCTCCCATACATACGCCTGGCTCTGCCTGGCAATGGGAGCGGGTAGAGGGAGTGAATGTCCCGTAGTTGAGTGTCATCTGCAGTTGTAACTCTCCTCACTCCCTGCTATATTTCACTGGATTTACTGTTATTAGTAGTGTTTACTGATAGAATAGTGATTAATGGTAGCATTGTAGCTAATGGGTCAAGCTGTGAGGTGTTAGCTGGCTCAATTAGGGAGGAGAGAAGTATTCAGAGTGTAGGGAAAGCATTGCTAGGGAGTAGGTCTCTCTTACTCTGGGGAAGCAGGCAGTGTATGCAAATGGTGACTGTGTTAAACTTTCATTTCGTTTTTGTTTACTAGTTTAGCAATACAGTATTTTTTGTTGTACAGTATTGTATCATGAATGAAAGTCATAGTAGAATGAGAATGAGAAAGAGGCAGAAAGTCGGTGAGATGCGGTGGGAGGGAGGTGGTGGTGGTGGTGAGGAGATGATGGATCATTCGGTTTGTTTGGTAACACTGGCTGCAGGACTGCCATACACAATTGAACAGCTGATGTCTACCCACAAAAATTGGGTGTAAGTATAAATGAACATCATATTCTTTCTACATTAGGTTAATAAATTTTAAATTATGGAGTGAGAATAACGAATAAACAATGTACAGTATTGTACAATATTGTACCATCATGAATTACAGTCATAGTATGAGTGAGAGGCGCAGTGTCAGTGAGAGCAGTGGGTGGGAGGGAGGGAGGAAGATGAAATTATGATTTAGGTGGTGGTAATAGAGGTAGTGGTGGTGATCATGGAGCTGGTGGTGAGAAAGCAGAAAGGTGGGGGACCTACCTTTCATAGTAGCAGAACTTTCGTTTGTTAAATGGCAAATGGGTAGTAAAAACTTGCTTTCATTATAATGTGGATTCGTTCAAAGGATTAATGTTCAATGGGGACTTACTGTATTTGTACTATGCTATTAGAAAGGTATTGGAAAGTAATAGAAGGAGAACAGAATTAAATGGCCAGATTTAATTATGGTATGCAGCCACTCACTGCCAACTCATGAACAAACAAATCAGAGACATCATATACCTGTACAGGTGTATTATCATAATGATTCTTTATATAAGCATTAGAGTAAATATCACACACGTAAAAAGCATATTTTGACCTTATTACATCCTTATCGCATTGAAATAATGATGAAAGCAAAATAGAAATATGGACAAGAGATGCTGTAAATGGATCACAGCGTGGGTGGCAACGACCAGCTGAGTCACTGTTTATGAGTGCGGATGTCACTGTATGGCAACAACTACTGACTGTTGTCTGCTAGGTGGAAGAGGGAGGGTTGTTGAGTACTTAACAAAGTGGCTCATTTTTTAAAGACATGTTAAACATCGAACACCGCATTTACTGTATTAGTATTCATGATTCGTCTGAGTACAGTACAGTCAAACACTGCACGCATCCAACGGGTCAAACAAACAAAAAAATTCTTTGAAAAAACTTATGATTGCCACAGGAAGTATTTTCAGAAGATACAGTACTGTTCATAGTTTTAAAAGAAGGAAAAAATGCTAATTTTGTAAATCAAAATATACAGTCAACCCTCGCTTTACGCGGTCCCACTTTACGCGTTTCCACGTTTACGCGGTACCCTGCCGAAACCGGAATGCTCACTTTCAGCGGTGTGTGTACCCTTTTACGCGGAGTGCGGCGCGAGCAGGGTGCGCACAAGGTCGCCCAGTCATCAAAACATTACCGAGTTCTTCACCCACCACAGCCGGCCCAAGTCAGTGATAATGATAGTGAGGATATGGACTTATATGGACTTTGAGGGGTTTGACAAAGAGGCCCTGCAAGCCTCTGTGGTGGATAGTGATACAAGTGATACAGGTGAGGGCCAATAATCTGCCCTCTGCCTCGGAACCAACCCCTCATCCCCGTGTGCCCAGCCATCTTTTCTACTAATATAAGTGTTAAAAACCTAATATTATTGATATTTCTCTGAATTATTAAGTGTGTGTACATACCATCATAAAATTAAGAAGTTATTTTTACTACAACGTAGGTATTGTGTCTGAAAAAGTGGAGTTTGGGGGTCGGCCCGGTCTCTATTTCAATTAATCCCATATGTTATGTTGTTCACTTTACGCGTTTCTCACTTTACGCGGGCCGCCGTGGGTTTAATTGACCGCGTAAAGTGAGGGTTCACTGTACAAGTACAATTGAAAACAAATAAAACACAAGAAAAGTCCTATTAGAGGTATGAAGCTTCATGGCCAGTCATCAAGCTGTTCCATGTTGTATACAGTATGTTGTTAAAGAAAAATGCAGTACTCTGTCATTAACCCTCTCGCTCATTATGACAAATTGCATCAAATCATTGGGTAGCATATTTGCATCTTTGAACTTTAAAAAATTTGCTAAAAAAAGTTATCAAGACAATTGTCTTAAATTTTCCTACGTCATAGATGACTGCATCATCTTGCGAGGGAAGCTTCCAGAAAGTACCAAAGCATGGGTGGAGTTCCACTTTCCAAGTTTCCTCATGTTACCCATGCTGGTATGAAGAATTTGTCTCTATTTCCTCTCCCATCCTCCCCACAATTAGTTTTCAAAATTCCAAAGCCACCATTGGGAAGCTCATAAAATTGCCCTTCTATAACTATACGTATACTGTAATACCTTGGTAGGTTTGTGAGAAAATATCCGAGATGTGATACTCGGAACACAATTTTTGTTTTCTTTATTCAGAGTGAAAAAATAGTCTTATTCTCGTGATGTATAACTCGTGCAAAAAAACAATCACTTGTGGGATAGATTGGCTGCAGAATGAAGATGACCAGATCTCAAGTGATTGGTCCCATATGGCTTTTGTCATGGTCACATAAAATTAAAAACTTATTGCGTGTGAGAGGGGGTTAATAGGAGTAACAATAACCATGGCGGGGGTAAAAAAGAATCATTAATGGGAAAAATGAACCATTATTAGGACACATCTCTAACTTATCCTACACTGGTGCTTCCTTGGCAGCTGAGGTCAACCATTGCTGTACTGTACAACCTAATAATAATACTGTAGTCATAATGTAAACAATATGTATAGCATATAGATAGGTAGAAATTTAAACATAAATATTTCATCAGAGAATTAAAAAAAGCTGTGTTAATATTACAGGTACTATTACTATTACTACCATACTGTATATGTCTTCTTATTTTCCTTGTTGGATGACATGCAGAATCATACCATGAGTAAATGTAAGTGGAAAACAAAGAAAGATTGATTAATTTGGAAACAGCATTGAAGGATGTCGAGTGGAAACATGATTGGGGGGGGGGCGTCAGTTGTTAAGTGCTGATATGTGTGATTCAAGCCACAGAACGATCACAAAGAGAGATGAAAATTCCTTGATGTCTACAATAAGAGCTTCCATTTTTTAATGAGGCCATCAGACTCTTGTCAGCCAAGACTTTTAATCTAATCATGCTACTACTGTAGCTGTAATGTATTGACACTTAAGTCCTGGATATATGGCAATACTACTTCAAGTGATAGTGATTTGCAGACATTCTTATGGTCACTAAGATAAAATTTCATATACCTTCAGTTCATATCTGACTGGCATGTATTTGTAATTAATATCCCTGAGGCTGTATTGTGTTATTTTTATTTCAATCTGTAGTTTACCTGAAAACACTACAAAAATATATACAGAACTTTGAGTAAACTTTATGGAGACTAGATCCTAAATATGGTGTATGGTATTGCCATAGGCCCAGAGTTAGCAGTTTGTATCACCCAATGGCCCCACATTGTAAACCACTTCTCACTCAAGAGTACTGTATGTCATTATAGGAAGGAGGGATAGTAGAACTGAAGTTTACACTGTTGCACTGATAAAATATCCTATCTTTTGAAGTAATTATCAAAGGTTATCAGATTGTCTCTACATAGGTTAACAATTTTCATTTTCAAAGATTAATAAAAGATTCTGAGTATAGTATAGAAAATATTGAGATTCGTGTGAACTGGCCCACTTAATCCATAAATGTGAATTTCTCATGGGCATTCAGTATCTGCAAGTACAATAACTGGTAATTTATGAACCAACTGCCATTTAATCTTGAAAACAATAGTTGTAATCTTGTGGGCATATGTCTGATCTGTTCTTGCATTTGTTCATTAACTTAAGAATCCAAAGTTTAATCAAGAAAAACCATTGAACTTTGTTCCCAGTCACTGTATTCAGCCTAGATTATTGTACACATGTGCATTCTCAATTTC